TGTTTGAAGCCAGAATATAACAGCTGTTTTAGTGCTAATTAATAATATTATGACATATGAATAACTGTTCCACAAAATTATGTATTTCCTTGTCTCACTTCATGCTACTACTACATGCAGCACAGCAGCTTCATCTATTGGTGAGGAACGGAATGGCACAAGTGAAGCATTTTGTTTGGAAAAAGGCACATATTGGTTACTGGTTAGTAGAGTCCTGAAGAATAAAGCTGTTAGTCACATCAGTCAAAGACATGCCAGGTGAGTCAAATTAAATCACATTATTAGTGTCTTATTTATTGCATAAACTTGTTTGTTGGCTAGTAATGGCTCAGTACTTGAAACCAGAAAGTCAACCCAATGGTTAACATGGTTTTATAGAAGAAAAAGATAAATAAAAAACACAGCTTAAAGCTCTACAATTTTAAACACTAATTACCACATCCACACACTGGCTAAACAGTCTTTTCTGTCATCATACCCAAAACCATCCACCAACATTAATATAGACTTGATTGGAAACACTAACACATTAATCATATGTGAGATCACCAAAAAAAAACAACTATTCTCACAAGCAAGTGAGAAAAAAAAACAGGAATTTGATGGTATCAGTCAAACCAACACATCTGAAAATCGCTGAGTCTAAACTGTTGATAAGAAAGTTTCAGCCCTACATGTACACTTCAACACTTATGATATTACGACAGAATGCAGCATGAGCTCAGACAAGCCTCTACTAGTTTCCTCTCAGTTAAAGTACAATTTACACATGACATCTTATTTCTTTACTAGTAGTGTTTGCAAGGGTAAGAAATTTCTATTGCTTATAGTTAGGGTTACGGATTTGTTCAAATTTAGGTATGAAATGTTTAGTACCACAGCGTTTGCTCTCTTTAAATTCTTCAAATCAATTCTCTTGTTGAGGAAATTTGTGGAATAAAGGGTTATTATAGTAACTAAAACCATAAAGAAAATTATATGTCTTGAAATAAAGTAAACTTTTAATTAATAAAATAAATATATATTTATGAAATAAAATGTAAAACACCTTTTCAATTAATTTGTTAAGGCAACATTTCTCATTTTCACTTGATGTACTAATATAATAAAACCAAAATAAAAATTGTACAAAACATAAAAAACTAATAAAACAAAAATGCAACAATGACTAAAAAATAAAATGACTAAAATAAATGAAAATAAATAAATGAAAATGAAAACTAATTCAAAATATTTATAGACTTCAATAGTATCCCAATGATACTAAAATAACACTGAAGGAATTACAGAACTTTATAAAATCTTAGTAGGTTTTACATGGGCACACGCTGCTCATTTTCAAAAAATGAATTTTATTATTATTATTAAATCTAGTTAATATTTACAACTGCCAAAGAAAGTCTCATTTTTTATTTTTATAGAATTTACCTCCACACTCAAATAAGCCATAAACCTCATTAAGCATTTGCTGAACTGCCCCTTATCATACGCAATAAACAAATTTAGAAAATCAGTGTAACACATGAATGAACCACTATTAAGAAACTATATTCAGGTCGTTTCATGCTGTTCATTAATGTTGCAATCAAAACGAAAGACTAAAATCCTCCCACTGATAAGCATAGAAAACACTCCCTCTTAGTTTTTATCCTCCATCAGCTCAAACGGCGTTAACCAACCATGCCAAAGCTCTCAGATCTCTGAGTCAATGCACACAAGTCGACCAAAGCCTCATAAGAAGGTAAGACGTACTCCTACTATAACAAATAAATCTACTCTTAAAAAAAAATTTACATCAAAAAATAAAAAATTGCGAAATCAATTGTTTATCAGAGTTTAAGTTTGCAAAAAGGCTGACGTGCAGTGAACATATTTTAGATGAGCAGCGCTGAAGGTGTGTTCACATGCCAGGAATGCATTATGGATGTGTGTAAACAGGTTGTGAACGGCAGGACAGCTGTGGGTGAAATAATGCTAAGCCTTCAGGTGATAAAGCTAACATTCCTGCAACTCACCATTCCTAGGAACATGCACAGCATCACGCCACATGCCCTCACAATTTTACCTGTATTTGCTAGTCCACTGCAAAGGTGTTCAGTGATTGCTAGAGCGCTGGGTTTTACTGTCAAGAGTCAACTATCAGGTCTCTGTGATCTTCTGGTCCCTAGATATGGGTCTGTACCTATTTTCTTTTTTCATCTATTTTCTAGTCCAGCAGGTAAAAATTGTGCATTTGATCACTCACATGATTTGAGGAATAATTCAAGTCTGGAGCTCAAATACTGCATTTACGCAATCAACTTTAACATTTAAAGGAATAGTTCACCCCAAAAATTTAAATTTTGTCATTATTTTCTCACCCTCAAGTTGTTCCAAACCTGTATTACTTACTTTCTTCTACTGAACACAAAAGCCAATATTTTGAAGAATGTTGGGAACCAAACAGCTGATGGTAGCCTTTGACTAGCCACTTACTTCCCATACTTCCCATATTATGGAAGTCAGTGGCTACCAGCAACTGTTTGTTTACCAACATTTTTCAGAATATCGTCTTTTGTTTAGAGGTTTGAGCACTAGCACTACTGACGACAAACTAGGCTCCTTTTTATTATTTTTACGTTTTAATCTATGGGTGGTTGCATAGACTGCTTAGACTAGTCTTACAAGGTTTTCTTTAAGACTTGTGATAACTTTTTAAGCCAGTTACATAATGTAGATTGGTCTAATGTGAATCTGAAAAGACAGACTGATTATCCCTTGGTTAACTGCTATTTGGTCAAACTAAAGTCAAACTTTAAGTTCTTAAGTCTTAAAGAGAACGTTTACCCAAAAATGAAAATTCTGTCATCATTTACTAATTTACCGAGTTTCTTTCTTCTGTTGAAAAATTTATTTTGAAGAATATGGGTAACCAAAATGGGAGAAAAAAAACACCATGAAAAACCAATAACTGCTAGGTTACATTCTTTAAAATATCTTCTTTTGTGTTCAGCAGAAGAAAGAAATTCATACAGGTTTGGAACTACATGAGGTGTGAGTAAATGAAGACAAAATGTTCATTCTTGGGTGAACTATCTCTTTAACATAGCGTTTATGCATGCCATGTCAACAACTGAGGCTACTTGCATATTAAGAATTGAGTTATGAAATATGCAAGTGTTGCATATAAAAACAAATACAGTAAAAATTATGTTTTACATTAACATGATCATTCAAAAACTTTTCTGGTCAGATCTTATTAAACAAGCACTTAGGTAAGCTTATTGAATAAAAATGTTGTCTACTTTAAATTAAAAGCAGGACAGTCCAATAAGTTTAATGGAAAGGGGGGTCTTGGGTTTTCAGCAGAAAGTCAATCTTGAATGTCCTATATGACTTCTGGTGACCTAAAGTGAATTTTAATTCAACCAGTTGTTAAAATATACCTAGTAGCTACATAAAATAATCATTTTTAAAAAGAAGAAGGAAAAAAAGAAAGTATTGTGACATGGCCATACTTCATTTAATTGAAAAAGCATTTCAAAATGCTTCTGAAAAGAAGAGGAAATTGCATGCAACTTCCCCCATTTTATCACCAGTGACCATAAAGATGTGTTTCTTAAGCTAATGAAATGCTTTCCATGATCATGAACCGTGTTTTGAAACAGTTTGCACATGAACGTTTCTCACTTGTATTTCCACAGAGAATCAATGTCTGCCAAAGATCCGATCAATGTCACCTCCAACCACACCGATTCCTCCATCTACACCAGCGAGGGCATACGTGTGCTGCAGATGATCGTGACCGTGATGATCTTCATTGTGGGTGTTTCTCTAAACGGTCTGGTGGTCTGGGCATTGGGGGTTCGCATTTGGTGCCGCAACAGAAGAGCTGCCAGTGAGACACAGAGTGCCGACAGCTTTCGGATCTATGTGGTGAACCTGGCATTTGCTGACTTGGTGCTGTTGTTACGTACGCCACTAATGCTGCCCTACTTGGTGAACCACTTCAATTGGACATTGGGGGTACCTGTGTGCAAGCTGGTGATTTATTTGCGATGCCTCGGATTGTATGCAAGTGCATTCTTGCTGTGTGCTGTCGCAGTGGAGCGCTGCTTGTGTCTCCTTAGACCAGTCTGGGCTCGACTGACACGCCCTCGTTGGGCTGTACCTCTGGCCTGCACCGCAATATGGGTGTTAGCGGCGGTGTTCGCTGCGCCCTACATCAACACAGCCAAAGTTGATTCCTCGGGGGGGCGTGACGCCTGTATAGAAAGTGATTTGGAAGTAGGACAAGCCTTAAATGTGTTGGAGACTGTGGCAGGATTCTTGCTACCTCTAGTGATCTTTTTGTCGTGCAATATCGCAGTAATTTTTTGTGCAAAGAAGGCTGACAGCGCAATGTCTTCACCTACCTCATCATCTGGACCGGGTCACACAACCCAGCGTCTCACCCGTCTCTATCGCGTACTCTTCCTCACCATGCTCCTCTTCCTCACATGCTGGGTGCCGTACTTCACCTGCCGCTTTTTGAGGGCCCTCTCACACGATCACCCAGACTGGAAGAAGCTCAGAGAAGGAGCGATCGAAGCTAAATATGCGACACTGTTTCTGGTTTACATAAAAAGTGCGCTCAACCCAGTCCTGTACGTGTTCGCAGCTCGTGGACTGGGCCACACGGTTCGCGCCTCACTTCTCTCAACAATTGAGCGAGTCTTCAACGAGGAATTATCAGAGTCTTTACGAAGAAAGTCCTTACGAAGGAGAGACTCTCAGTTTTAGGGGAGCTTGAAGAGTGTAAAATACTGATCTGCAGAAGGTTGAAACCAACATCTGAGATCTAGTTTCCAGATCTGCTTGTTAGACAAATGATGAACAATGACTAAAAGCAGGAAACATACAGTATAAATCTCTACACAAGTGATTGACTGAGACGTCACTTGATGGACATAAAAACATTCCCCAAGATCCATCCTATTATTGATGATTGTTTTATTCTTGGATTTAATTGTGATGCATTGTTATGTAGCACTTTCATTTTAGGAGCCTTACAGCAAATGAAAGGCTTTCCTTCCTGTGACAGTTACAGGCTTAAATTAAGCATAAAGTTTGTTCTCTTACATCTTATGTAGTAGAAATGTGCCCTACATACATTTTTTTCACCCAGATCATTACCCAGTTGAAAGAAACCAAACATGAAATATCGTCATCTTAAAGATTAAGATGAAGAAGTTGATCAATTATATAGAATCTTTACAGACAGCAGAAAGGTTCCCATTAATGATAAATCTTAAAGTGAAAATTGAATTCCAGTACTTGTCTTGATATTGCTGCATTAATGCTTAAAATGAATGTAAATTCTGTGCCTAGTCCTCTATGCAAACGTATTATTATTAAATAAATAAGCAGTTACTTTGGTTATCAGCTGTCGTTTGTGTGTCCTGTGATAGTCAGTCCATGGCTGAGCAGTCATTATGAGCAGCTTGCACTGCATCCACCTGTTTATGTGCAAGCTCCAGAAAGGTCCTCACATCCTCGAGGACAGGAGCCATCTGAAGTGCTTTGATCACTGCTGGAGGATTGGGCACGATCTTCATGAGGTGCTCCTGAAGGACCAATCACACAGGAGTCATTATTTTAGGGTTTATGAAGGTAAATTTGAGACTTTAAGACCTTTTTAAGAAGTAAAGAAATTTTAAGGAATAAATTGAAAGGAATGCAATATGTCAGTATTTCCTCTAAATGTAAATGTCTAGGGAGTACATAGTAAGTATTAGCAACACTTCAGAGTTTGAAAATACAACTTCCAACAGATCTCCATTCTTTTTAATTCATTAATGGCTTTCCAAATACTAGAATATGGCAATAACTTTTACTGCAACTTCTAATCACACTGCAAAAAAGTGATGTTCTTTATCAGTATTTTAGTTCTGTTTTCCAGTGCAAATGTCTGAAGATTCTTAAATTACCTTTATTCTTAATTATGCAATTACCTTTATTCTTAATTCTTAAGAAGCAAAATGAGAGAAGTAGTCTTGTTTTCTGAGAATGTTTATGATTAAAACAAGAATAATCTTCATTCAAGTTCTTAAGCAAGTTCTTAACTCACTTCATTTTATACAAATTCTTCATTTTGCATTTCAAGTAAAGATATCTTCTTGATTTAAGGATGTTTAAATATTTATATTGAAGAACAAGAAAAAAATACTGAGGAAGCTATTTGTTTTTAGCAGTGCATCCAACATTTAATGTCATGACTTTATGAATAATAAGACTTCCTGCTATGTTTTAAGACCTTTTAAGGCCTTTATTTGTAAAAGGGCAAATGAAAACTTCCTTTTTAAGACCTGCAGAAACCTGCATTGATCTGATTTAAGCTGCAACTACACTTAAAAACAACCATCCATTTTGGATCCCAGTCACACATTTGTTTTGATTAACAAAAGCACATTGTGAATCACTTGCACATTTCCAAAAAGTACCCTGTTCGGTGTTGAAACTCTTTTCCTGAATAGATTGCATCAATTCTGTCTGTATAACTTTGTTAATGTTGCATATAAGGTGAGGGCATGTTTCTCAACATGTGTTTCTAGTTCTGTACACACTATAACATGTATTTTTGAGAAGATATGGTGAAGAAGGTGTCAAAACCTCACGCTATATTTGTCATTAGGACAAACAATATGCTGTTGTCACAAAAACACAAACGGAATCGGCCTGAGAACATGGCCACACTTGGCTGATTCATCAACCACAAATTAAGCATTGCAAGAATGCAATTATCTTTTTTATTTATTTTATTCTGTGGCGGAAATGGACTTCTAACGTATAAATATTTTTTTCTGTAGTGCATGTAGCTGTAGTACAGTTATGTAAAAATTGGCAAAGAAATAAAGTCATAATGCAAAAAAACTATTTCTGTCACCAATGGAGTTTTGGTTCCTTCTCATTGTCGCCTTGGCTTGCTTAGTTGGGGACACAATTTCTGGCAACATTGTAGACTTGATTGCACAGATACTATTTGAAGAGAACTGAACTGGACGATGACATTTTACTGATAAATGGACTGTTTTCTATTGTCCTGTTGCATTATCAACACACGTTTTTCCTGTTGAACACTGTAAAGCTGCTTTGACAATCTGTATTATTGTATAAAGTGCTATAAAAAATAAAGGTGACTTGACTTTGAACAAAAACCTTCTCTTTAAGTAAAACCAAATTTATCATTCTTTTGATTTTGTGCTTAAATATGACTTCTTCAAAGTTAATCAAGTAATCTTGACTGCAGTTCATCAGTTTCATTTGACTGGAAGTGAAGTGTGATGTACCTGTAGCGTTGGCTCGTTGGCTGGGCGAGACAGTAAAGCAGGAAGACGCAGGACCGTCTGTTCTGACAGCTGGAGAAACTGGAACAGATCAGAATCAAACACCATGATTAAACAACAACTAGAAACAGTCACTGACTGTTCAACTGAAACCAGTTGTGTGTCATCAAATCACTGAAGCGTGCTTGAACCTCCTGTGCCTTTTCTTCTTCATCCTCTAGTTTGCTTCTCATTATCCTGCATTTCTCCTCCAAACTATCCATCTGAACCTCCATCTCCTCAAGAGTGCTAACAACTGAGCGCATGTTCTCCTAAACACACAAAGGTTAATGGCCAGTTACGTCATGATCAACTGTTTATCTTGAATCTGCTCGTTCATCACCTCTAGAGCCTCAAGCGTCTTCCTGCCGTGCTCAGACTTCTTACTTTCTGCTTTGAACTGACGGGACACATGCATAATGTCTCCATGTTTCCTCGGAGGAACAGAAAGCTGTGCACACTTAGCCAGGAACCTACGAAAACATATTGTGAAAGGGCCCAAAAACAGTGAAACATAAAAGATGTTTGGCAGAATGTCCCTTACTGATTTTTAAGGAGATTGAGATGCTTCTGCGATTCTTCTTTTTCTTTGCTTTTCAATGACAGAACAGATCTGAGTCAAAAGCATAAAAAACATCACAATCAGACCGTGATGATGACGCAATCTGCACACACATATGATTATTACACAACACATTACTCACAGAACGGACAAACCAAGCATGTTCTCCAGAGCCAGTAGGGACGATTTGGTCAGCAGCTTCCAATTCCCCTTATTCTTACTCTTTCCAGCGATCACTGAGGTTTTATCAAAGCCAGAGAAAAAGACAAAAAAAATTGTTAGACCATAAATTACAGTAAAACAACATATCATTATATTCAGGCAAAATATAAGAATTTGAAAGAAATAATTCAGCTAAAAATGCCAATTCTGTCACGATTTGATGACCTCATTCACACCTTTGCATTAGGCATGCACATTTTTAGAGCTCTTCATAATTTATTTTCATTAAAATGAATGATCAATTAATTGTTTAATCAACTAATGTGAATACATACATAAAATCTGTTTTATTAACCCATTTTTGATTGCAATGCAGTGTTTTTAGAATCATTGAGATACTATTAGTTTTTATTATTTATCTGAATCAGTTTTTATTTTTATATTTTCCTTTATATTTTTAATTGTTAGTTGTTTTTCTTCTATGTCTATATAGTTTTTTTATAAATTTTTATTTTAGCGCACTAAAATGCTGAAATAAAAGTTTTTTTGTTTTATTTTCAGTTCATATTTATTTTATTTCAAGTAACAATTTTTTAAGGTTTTAATTTTAGTAAAGGATAATAATTCTGCTGTAATGTAAATATAAATTTGACAGAAATATATACTTAAACACATGCAATTGTAGTTTCCTCCATGTATAAATGGTAATTCAAGAGCATTTTAATACATTGATGTTAAGCATTATTATTACATTGTATATAAAAAAAATAAAGCTGGATTTTTTTTTTCTCAAGAAAGATTTATTTTATGAATTGAACATTTCCAACATTACCTTTCACTTTACACTTTAAACTTTAAATTATAACACATTTACTCTGTGGACGGTGCAATACATCTGTTTTTTTAGATGACATATTCAACATTTCTGAATCCCATTTGATGTGGCTTTTAATGATGTCAAATATAAAAATTCATGAATTAGATTTTTGCAAGATATTCAGTGATTAACAATTTACATTTCACAAGTATGGAGTATGTTTAAAATACATTTTGGCATTTTTTAAAAGCTTGAAGGTCATGATAAAAAGAAGTATAAACATTCTGCTTCTTTTGAGTTTTACTGAAGAAAGACATAAATGTTTGGAACAACATGCGTGCTAGAAAATGTTGACAGAATTTACATTTTCAGGAGAAAGAGGAAACAAAGGCTTTTCAGTAGCCCATTGATTATTTTGGCAAAAAAACTAAAAACTCCCAACAGGTTGAAAAATGCATTTCTGAATAACCTCACCTTACGCAACAAGTCTTCTAAAGCATTCAAGTGCAGACATCGCCCATCATTTCTCAACTTACCGCTGTTTTTCTTAGGTGGCTCCGGATGTGGGCCTTCAGCTCTGGGTTTAAACGTCTGAAAGAAAGTGTTGAGCAATTATACATTGTAGATTTCATTTTTACTATTATTATTATTATTATATTATATTTGCTGAATGAAATCCAAAACTAGTTTTTTACTAATTATGGGCTGCTCATTCCCAAAAAAAAATAGTGCGTTTTGTCTGTTGTGCTCAAGCACATCACACTTTCTCAAAAAATATCATGCATTTTGTAGCACTTTTGCTTTCGACAACCATCTGTGCAGTGAAGAAGTCTTGTTTTATCCCTTAATCAGCAGAAAAACACCACAAACTTTATTCCTTTCTTCATATGAGCCAGATTATCTGTTCTCATTTAAATGTGTTTAAGACCAAGTAAAGAAAATTTTAAGAATAAATTGAATGTCACACATACATCAATATGGTCTCTAAATGTAAATGTTTACAAAAGACCACTATTACTTCTTGATAAATTGTCTTGTTTCATTAGAATTTGATCAAATATCTGGCAGTGGGCTCAGAAAAATCTTAAAGGGGTCATATGACAGAATAAAAGTTACGCCTTCTTTCTTTGCGTGAACATTTGGGCAGCGTTATTCAAATCTTCCCACATAGTGAGGTAGATATGTGGGGGCGTGTTCGAACGAGCGTGGCTGACTGAACTTTTATAAAGAATATCTCTTTGGATTTGAGACTTTAGTCTTTGCAACTTTACAGATCTTCTTTATGCACCAAGAGCTTGTAACACTCCAAAGAGAAAGGAAAAATTGAAATTGCATCATATGACCCCTTTAATTCAAAGGGAAAATAAGTTTTTGTTCCCCACTGACAGATATTTGTTCTTATTTTAAGCATACTCACTTAATTTTGCTCATTTTCTTCAGAGCTCCAGTAAATATATCTTGGTTTAAGGATATTTTGATATTTGTACAGGAAAACAAGACAAAAATACAGAAGAGATTCATTCTTTGCAGTGCACGGAACATTTAATGCCATGAATTTATGCTCCGATTTTAAATGCTTAATTTGTCAAAGTGGGAATTAAGACTTTTTAAGACCTGCAGAAACCATGTATATAATTTGAAAAATCTTCATTAAAAAAATGACACTCTTTTCTAGATGCACTTTATAAGCAGCAGTATAACACATGATCACATTTAGAATATATATCAGGAGTAATAATAATAAATTCAGGTTTGTTCAGCTGCATCTCACAAGTGTGTTGTGTGTGTTGCTGTCTGCGGCTCCACTGGGGCCCCGTGTGGAGGTTCTTCCTGACCCTCGCGCTGGTTTCATCACGAAAAGCTGCACAGAAAACCTCAAGCTAACGTGTAAAACAGCTCTCTATAAAGACTGTAGAAAGATCACCCATGTTAAAAAAAAGACAAGTACCACAGTATTACAATGTATTGTTGTTTTTAGATATGATAATGATATTTTTAGATATGCAGCATGGTTATTCCATAGTATTCTTTGTATACTACGGCACAATACCATGGTATACGAATATGTCAAATAGAAAAGCCCATAATAATAATAAAATAACATTTAAAGAAAATTGCACCAAAAAAAAACTGTCGCGGAAATACACTGTGTTCTTGTACAAAATTCAACAAACTGCAAAGAAATGTTTATTGTCACCAATATGTCTTTAACATTTAGACATTACATTTACACATAACTGCTCGTTTGATAAAAGAATGCATCAAGTAAACAGGTGCTCCCTCTATGTTAATGTAACCTTTCCAGAATGACACACTTTTATCATCAAAACTGCAAAGTGTTGCAGAAGACGCCTGATAAGTGAATGACAGAACACTCAAAGCAGCAGATATCAATCTGCTGTCTATTAAAGTATTCTGAATGTTAGCAGACCACTTCCTGCCCATGAGGAGAGAGTCTGTCTTCATCTGTGCTGACACTGTAGATCAGCAACGTTATCTCTCAAATACGCTACACCCGTTTGGGGTTGAAGAACTTCCCAGTGTAGCGTCCGTGATTGTGCATGTCAAACGGGCTCAGGACTTTGCGGATTCCCAGCATGTTGGAGCGAGCGATTCTCTGGAAGGTCCAGGGGTTCTGGTTGTTGGCAGCCCGTTCGGCCTGTTCCTCATACAGTGCGGCCAGACTCTCTCTGCTCACCACCTACACCAGAAATACATATTACAGTCCATCCATACTCACATCAACACTGACCTGTCAGTATGTTCAATCACATCTGATCATATACTTGGTGCTTCTTCAAATTAAAACCCGTTTCTTAGAAATCCTTCCACATTTAAAACCCTCTGGTAGTCTTAACTTTGAATTCACACATTGAGTATTTTTGTCTTTTTTCCAGTACAAATATCTAAATATTCTTAAATCAAGGTACATTTATTTAAGATGCAAAATGGCTTAGGATATTAAGTCTTGCTTTCTGAATTTTTTTTTAATTAAAATTAATTGAGTTTATGCTTAAAACAAGAATTTGAACAAATCTGCCAACGGGGTCAGAAATATAAACATGTTTTCTCTTTAAATTAAGAGTATTTTTCTGAACCCACTGACAGATTTCTTTTATTTTGATCTTTATTTCCAGAAAATGACACTTGATATCTTATGTCATTTTGCTTCTCAAGTAAATGTATTTAGATAGAAGAATCTGCAGATATTTGTACTGGAAAACAAGACAAAAATACTAAATTCTTTTTTTTTTTTTTTTGCAGTGCTATCACTTCTGATCCTGCCGGTCAAAACAGTCCATAGCCTATATGCATAATTTAATTAAAAAATTTAAATCCTCTATTTTTACATTTTAATTCTTACATTTTTAATTATGTGAATGTACCATATAATAGTTACATAATATTTAATCTTTAATCTTTTGTATTTTAAGGGGATTTCATGATACCAAACAATATTTACCTCTAAATTATGCACCATTTATTTCTATATAAAATAATACAAATATAATTTTTTTTAAATTTTATATTTTTTTAATGTAGTATATAAGTAAAAAATAAAGCAAATGCATTTAAAACGGATGCAGATTGGTTCTATCTGGTGGAAACAAAGAAGATCATATGTAATTCTAGATTAATTAATAATCAATTACTTTTATTAGGTTTTGCATTTGGCTATAAATTTAAACATTATCAAAGGTTATTTTGGTAAAAGTTTTTTTATATATGTTGATTTGAAGTGTCAATGTGCATAGCAAGTGCCACAAAAGTCACAAAGTTTCACACCTTTCTGATAAAGTAAAACATTTAAAAAAAAAATGAAAATGTAAAATGTATGGTCTAAAATGATCAAGTACTACAAGAGGGTTAAGTACACTAAATAATAGGGCTGCACGATAAATCTAAATGGAATCGAGATCGCGATTCGACAGAAGCTGCGATTGTCATGCGTAGGGATATGCCGGTATCAAATTTTCATGTTGCGATTAATTGCTAACGCTTTTATCATGGTATTCGGTATTATCACAATATTGAAATTTAGTTTAAAAAAAGTGCTGTTATAATACAGTATAACAGGTTTAATAAAATGTTTCTTATAACGAGCCGTAGTTCACTGAGAAGCTATGCTAACAGCTGTCATTATCTCGAACGATTTCTTCGATTTAATAATCGCGCAATAAAAAGCGATTTTTTTGCATAACTTGTCAGTGAACTACGGCTCTGTGAAGTAAATTCTGCTCCATCTGAAAGCACGTGATGATGATTTCCTGCTGATTACAGAACCGGCATTGCTATAAAAATGTGCATGACAATCACATTTGATTAATCGTACAGCCCTACTAAATAAACAGGAAAAAAAAAAACACACAGCTCATCCTCCAAGTAAAGGTTACACAACACTTTCCTTATTCACTTTATTGCCACATCGTTCCGGAAGAAATGCCGATTATGAAAGCATAAAGAGGAAGTCAGAAACTAAATCTACTCAGAACAAACCTTGGCTGGAAAGGGAAGCTTCTTGGCCACTTCTTTGAGCACAGCCTCCACCTCACCCAGCTCAACGCGACCTCCGACCTCCACCACCAACCGGCCGCATTTCACCGGAGTCACATAGTGATCGATGGCACCCTTCCCGCCGCCCATGCGCTGACCCAGGCCTTTACGGGTGATGGGCTTGTACGGGGCATTGATGCGCCACACAGCAAACGTGGTGCTGGGATCCATGCGGCGGTTGATGGTGAGACGCATCATCTCCATGTGACCCCAGTGCAAATAACCTCCACCCAGAGCCTACAGACATAATGCAATGACATTCAGAGATCTTTAATACATGTACTAAATAAACATACACTTTCTAGGTTACTTCAAAACACTGACCACGATCCCATACTGTCCTTCGCTGAACGTATTTGTGCTTTTGGCCGGTCCCTGGATGTCACGCAGCTTCTTCATCTCCTTCTTTGCTTGTTTTAAGTTTGGGACCTTTTCGAGGAACTTCAGTTTAGGCTTGTCTGGTAGAACCACGTCTGCATGAGAGAAAAACATAAATCACACACTCTAGTTTAGTGGCTGCACAATTCATCAAAAAATAAAACCAAAATTAGCTTTTTTAAAACTGAAATATGGCTTAGTGCGATTATTAATCGTCTTCATATCTCTGCATATATTTGTAAAATTAAATCACATTTAATTAAATATAAGCAATGAAATTAAGGCAGCCATAAATAGTAGCATTATAATTTTAGTTGTAAAATAAAATGATTATTAGTATTATATTTTTCTCAGATACTCTTTTTTTTTTTTTTTTAACAGTGAAATTTTACAAAACTAATTATTCTTTTGTTAATATTGTTGTTACTAAATTAAAACATAAAAATACAAAAATTAAATCTAAAAAACAAAATAATTATTAAATTTTTTTTATTATTATTCTATTCAAAAACAACAATAATAAAAATTCTTATTATCTGTATTAATGGATTTTGGACAAATTTTGCATCATAGCAAAACCTGGATTTATTTATTTTTTAAGTTACATTTTAAAGTGCATTTGCCATTTTTATTTGAAAAGTCACAATTGGGGTTAGAGTTAGTTTTACCCCTAAATCATGCAGCCCTACACTCTTGATCTTGAGAACAAAGAAATCAGAAACTGCTCACATGCTTTGTTGAAAGGGCTTAAATAATACAAGACCAACAAGCATCAACTAACTATCATAAATGAACTTGATGCCTGAGTGAAAGTGTTTAACTGGTGAAATGTTGGTGCAGTATGAACGATCATTACCGCTGAAGTCTGGTGGAACTTCGTAAGTTCTCAATCCTGCTGCCAAGACCTTCAGGTTATTTTGCAGCACATCTGCTGTGGAAGAAAGCGATTTCAGCAAATTCATTCGACTAGTAAACACGGGTTTAGTGGGTGAAATATCACTAAATATCACATTTGACAAGTTATGACACTCTGGTTATCACAAACATGTAAAGTTCAATCTAAAAATCAGTAACGTTAATACTGCAGACTATTAAATGAAGGATATAAATCACACTGACTCATGGTACATGTGTACATGTCTATACCAAACATGGTATCGCCATACTTTGTCCAAAAAATATTTATGTGTTAGTTGTACTAATATAATTAATATTAAATATTATATATTACAATTAATATTGTAAGATTATTCATCTGCATTCTACCTGGCTGGCTTGATGTCCGGACAAAGCCCAGAAACGCGTGCTTCAACGTTGAGAACATGCCGATTCTAGAATTTAATTCTATATATAAAATATAAACGTATACTTCATATCTTCTCAGTTATGATTCACACCAGAGTCTCGGCGGATCCACAAGGTCGCTGCCATGTTTGCTCAACACCCGGTTTGTCGGTGAAATTCAGCCGGTAGAAACAGTCACGCGCATAATGAGTTCCGCGTAATTATAATTCAGTTAACTATATATATATATATATATATATATAATTATGAAATAACTTACCAATTAATTGATTTTAAAGTATCCCTGTTTTGTGCAAAAGTGAAAAGCAAGGTACTATACAATCTGGGCAAACTATATTATATACAAATGTAATATATATATATATATATATATATATATATATATATATATATATATAATTTAAATTGTGCACAATATGTAAACAAAATATATGCGTGGAAGTGGCCTACTACGTTGACAAAAATGTACAGTATACAACAGAACACAGTGCATACTATAGCTATCCAACAAAGCATTGCATTTGTCAGTATATACCAACATAGACATTTTACACAAAAATGGATTAAAAAGCAAATTGGCCATATTTATTTTTAGACTATTTTAAGAAACGGTGGTCAGTATACAGCCAGGGTTCTCAACTCTGGCCCTCGAGATCCATTTTCCTGCAGAGTTTAGCTCCAACCCTGATCAAACACACCTGAACAAGCTAATCAGGGTCTTCAAGATTACTAGAGTTACAGGCAGGTGAGTTTGATCAAGGTTGGAGCTCAACTCTGAATCTCGAGGGCCAGAGTTGAGAACACATGGTATACATTATTGCATGGTAAGCACTGCAGTGCCCTAGTATTCCCTAAACATCTGAAGCCACACCCTCATGTCAATCAGAAACACCTGTCACATGATCACTGATAGCACACATCTCAGCAGTCAGGAGCTACATCAGGAATAACTTTAGCAAGTCCTCAGACTACAGTGTTAGTAGGTAATCTTCTTTATTAGTATCCATTGGGTAAATTTATAAAAACAAATGCTTTATTCAGAATTTAAAGTCAAATCAGATGAATGATGGCTTATAAAGCATTTTTTCAAACAAGATTGTATTAAATAGGATTTTTCTTTATGTCTTGAGAGAAATATTTTCTGCTCACCAACGCTGCATTTATTTGATCATAAAGGCAGTGAAAACAGAGAAATTATTACAATTTAAAATGTTTGCTATGTGACTATATTGTCAAATGTAATTTATTCCTGTGATCAAAGCTGAAGAAACTTGTTGCTCAAGAAACATTTCAGATTTTTGTCAATGCATTTTGAATCATACTTTTGTGGAAACTATGATATACTACTATTCAAAAGTTTAGGGTAAGATAATAATCAGAAATGTGTCTTGAGCAGCAATTCAGCATATTAGAATGGTTTCTGAAGGATCATATGACATTGAAGACTGGAGTAATGATGCTGAAAATTCAGCTTTGATCACAGAAATAAATTACATTTGACTGTTCAGATAGAAAAACTATTTTAAGTTGTATTAATATTTCACAATATTACTGTTTTTACTGATTAAATAAATGCAGTCTTGGTGAGCAAATCCTGATTCCAGACTTTTACAGATATATTTATATTTCAGGTGCCACATGATGTTGGAGTGCTCAGACTCGAGCCGTAATCCAATTCAATCGGATTTTCCATACTCATTTTCTGAGGACGGTCAACTGCGACACAAAGTCACCTGTGAACCCTACAGGTTCACCTTCAGACTTGATGACGTCCGTGGAACCGAACGGGAACATCACAGCCTCTGTCACTACATCACTCAGCACATGTACGACCTCTTAGAGAGGAACTTTCACCTTATTAGGGTGCATCTCGAGGAGGACGGTTTTGTATTCATGAGTCCAGGAGCACTGTATCAACCTGGGAGTCTTCTGGTTCTGATTCAGGACTGGGGAACAGTGCGGAGCGGAGTGTGGAGCTGGAAGCTTTCTGCTCACGAGGGACTGGAGCGAGGCAGTCAGATCCCGTATCTTCGCTGGGCTGCGCTGGAGTCATGTGCCGTTATCATAATGAACCCTAACGAGGGTGGGAAAACTCTAGAACATCACGTCCATCTGGTCTGGGAACGCTTAGTTTCCCGGAGCTCCGCTGAGCACATTTTTGTGGTCGCTCACGGCTATGGAGGCTTGGCTTTTGTGGATCTACTTTGCTATCAGCTTGAAGAGGTTCAGCGTCGTGTGAAGGCTGTGGCTTTCTTGGATTCGTCTCACAACCTGTGGCATCAGCCGTTGGGAAAGGCTGGACGCGACTGGCTGAAATCCCACTCCAGAACTTGGATTCTCAGCACCAAACCCCTGAATCGCTCCGTCGGGTCTCTGAAGGCCGGTTGCCCGCAGATTTCCGCAGGTACTCAGTGCCACGACTCTGCGCCTACCATCTGCATGGAGTCTGTTTTTCGCTTCTTCAGCAAGACCATCAAACCTAAAGCCACGCCAACTCCATTTGAAATCATCACCAGGAGTAAGAGCCGTGCAAAGGACCAAAACAACAATTTGATATGATCACACAAATGGACTGACCTGAAGGGTTTCTGAAATAAATAAAAGACTTTGCATCAAAATGATCATTTCTGTCTGATTATTGTAAAAAAAGACTTGTTTCTTCATGAGATTTGGAGAAATGTAGCATTATATCACTTGCTCACCGATTGATCCTCTGCAGTGAATGGGTGCCGTCAAAATGAGAGCCCAAACAGCTGATAAAAACATCACAATAATCCACATGACTCCAGTCCATCAATTAATGTCTTGTGAAGCAAAAAGCTGCATGTTTTTATGAAACAAGTCCATCAATAAGACATTTACAAAATACGAGACTATAATCCATAACGCTTCCTCCAGTGAAAAAGTCATATGGTCTAAATCAGAAGAGAAATATGCACAGATCAAGCACCGTTTACAAGCCAAAACGGTTCTAAACAAAAATGTTGGTGGATTTTGATGTGAGAGGACAATTGGGGATGGATAATAATGCTTCCTCACTGCAGGAAGCATTATTATGGAATATGGCATTTTAGCCAGAAGTTAAAAACGTCGGGATGGGGATGGGGGGTTTCCAAACATGCAGCTTTTGACTTGACTTAAGATATTAATTGATGGACTGGAGTCGTGTGGATTACTTGTAGATTATTGTGATGTTTTTATCAGCTGTTTGGACTCTCATTCTGACGGCACCCATTCACTGCAGAGGGTCCACTGGTGAGCAAATTATATAATGCTACATTACTCCAAATCTGATGAAGTAGTAAAAGTAGTCAAATAGAACTGAAAAAATAGTTTGAAGTAGTTTAAAATTACCATCAGTGTCATTAAACTTCTAGAAGTGTAAAATCAATATGCTTTACTTTGAAAACATCATACAAAAATTTCACAATACGCAGAATAAATACATCAGATTGTAATTTCCACAGGAAACTCTACATCCTGACAAAGCTCACTTTAACTAGTCACTCTGTCAGAAGACGTGATTCTTGACTCTAATACTGTTGTGTAAAACTCAATGCTAGATGTCATGGTACAGTAGATCATATTTGGGAACGTTTCTTGGGTCGATTGGGCTTTGGACGATCAGTTTTCCTCTCATGGCGCCTCGATAGATCACTTCAATCAGATCCATGAAGTCCTGTTTGGTTTTGAAACTTCCCACAAACTTGGTATGATCTGGAGATCTGAATGGAAATAAATCAAAATCTGAGTGGAGTGATATGAACAACTTCAGTGAAATATCAATTAAACCGCTAAAGAGGAAATTATGACCGCTGAAAAGTATGTGCCAGAACATGAAATACCATGATTACTTATGCATCAAATTTATCTTTTTTTGTTTCCAAACACTTCTTTGGAAACATCCATTTCAACAGAAGTTAATTTTAAAAGGGGTCATGTGATGTTGCTAAAAAAAGAACATTATTTTGTGTATTTGGTGTAATGAAATGTGTTTATGCGGTTTAAGGTAAAAAAAAACATTTTCCACATACTGTACATTTTTGTTTCTCCTCTATGCCCTGCCTTTCTGAAACGCGTCGATTTTTACAAAGCTCATCGGTCTGAAAAGCGAGGTGTGCTCTGTTTGGCCAGCTATCCAGTGCATTGTGATTGGCCGAATACCTCAAGCGTGTGATGGAAATGTTACGTCCCTTACCATATTGTGATGCCCTGTCAGGCCAGAACGACGATTCAAAAACATTAAAACCCATTATAAACGAGGCATTTGTTGCATCCAGTGGGGACCTAATTACGGATTATAATGACTTATACTCTCTTTTTACACGTTGCATTGCATCGTGCCACTTAAACATAAAACCATGTCTGCATTTGTGATCGGAGAAATGACAAACAACAAGCCCTACTCTACACTGCTCAAAACTCACGTTTGAATCATCAGTGGCAAATTCTTCAAATTAAAAAAAAAAACGTACTTACAGTCTGTGAGTCAGAACAGCCGGCATTGTAGTCTACTCTACCAGGATCAGGAAACAGTCCTCCATAAAATGTGCTGCACACATCTGAATATTTGGGTTGAACTGTTCTGGAACAGTGTTGTAAATACAACTGAACCACTGATTTCTAGTCGTGTCCTCTTTTGGAAGGCCAAACAAAGTAATTTCGCTTTCACAACAAAAAAGCTTCACACACGGCGGCCTAGATTGAGCAGAGGACGGGGGCTAGAGTGAGGAATGGCCGGAGGGCTAGAGTGAGCAGAGGCGGGCGGGCTTGAGAATGGTGCGGCCGGCTGATTCGCCGGAGCGTCCGGCGGGCTTGCGGCAACCACATGTGATGACCCCGGGCTGGACTCCGCTTCGTCCACGATGAAAGCCGATCCACAGCGCGAAGATAATGTATTTCCTCAGCGACCGTACGGATCAGCTCTAGGCATGACGAAGCGGATATCGTCCTCTTTTGAAATGCCAAACTAAGTAGTTTCACTTTCACAACGAAACACAGCTCCTTCACGACATGGCGGCGGTGGTGTTCGAATGAGCCGTTTTAGGTAGGCGTGGTTGACTCAACTTTCATAAAGAATATCTCTTTGGATTTGAGACTTTAGTCTTTGCAACTTTACAGATCTTCTTTATGCACCAAGAGCTTGTAACACTCCAAAGAGAAAGAAAAAATTGTAATCGCATCATATGACCCCTTTAAACGTCTCACTTTAACCACATATCCTGTGTTTGTACATTTTTGCAAAAACATATCCTGTTTTCTTTGACTCCGAGACAAACGTGTGTGACTAATGTGACTATCACATTAATAGTGAAATCAAATGAAAATGATTTGATCTTGCATTGAATGCAAACTTGATGTACCAGGAAAAAACAGTGTCTCTTGTAAACACACAAATAAACACAGAAAGTGATGTCACATCCAATTTAAATGGATAACATATAGAAAAAAAAAGAGCCCATATGTATCAACACTCACCCATAGTCAACCTTCATGTGCTGTCCGTTGAAGAAGAACACTGTTGAGGGAATGAAGCTGATGTCAAAGTATCTGGTATAAACCGGCACCGTGTCCACATCCACCAGATAAATGTTGGCCATGTTACTCAGATCATGAGCCGTCTTTGACAGCTGTCAATAACACAAATACAACCATATTTCACCATATTTAACATACTTCAATGAAAGCTTAGATTTTTGTGAATATTTTGAATGAAAGATTTATTTTCTTTGATCATATTTACCAAGGGGTCAATATATATTTGAGTAACAGTTCATGACGCTTTAAATTAATTCACCCAGAATTATGAACAAAATTAACTCAATATCGGGAATGCACGCGTGAACTCCACCGGATGTTTACTAGAGTGTGGCGCACCGCTATATATGAGCTGACTAGAAACGCTATCAATAGTTCCTACACTCTGTACACAACTCAACATAAATGTTGTTCCTGTTAGTGATATTACGTATTCTACTCTTTTAAATTGCATTAACAAATATTAGCACATTTGCGCATTCAAACATCTTTTTTTAAATATTCAATTAAGTTACAGACAGCTCATTTAATAAACGAATGCAGCTTTCTGCACGGTCAGCTTTTATTGTTGCACACCGACATCCACATGACAGCAGGCAGCGTGTGTCCTTTTGAGGGTCCAGTGACTTCCGAGTGAAGATACAGAAATGTATCTGACATGGTATATTGATGTTACTTTAATGTGTGTGAATGTGATTACAGATGTAGAGGAGACCGGGGCCAGTTGTCACGGTTCTGTTATATCTCTGTAACCACTGGTTGAATTCCAGTCCTGTAGACCCCCTGTTCCGCACATTTTGCATGTCTCCCTTATTTAACACACCTGATTCAGATCAGAGCTTTGTGAACTGAATTGATTGTGTCAGATAAGAGAGACATACAAAATGTGCAAACAGTGAGTCCCCAGGACTGGAATTGAGAAGAACCACTATCTGTAATTATCAGGTTTGAGTTATAAATAGGCCTACTTGCTTTCTCTGGCAGAGTTAATTGTTGTTATAATTTCAAACGTATATCAGCCCTATCTTGCAATTGTGTGTGTGTTTGTGAATTTTGCCCCTCAAACTAAAATTAGACCTTCATTTAGGTCAAACATTGTTTTTGTGATACCGTTAACATTTTTGCTGTTTCATAATATAGTATATATATATATATATAGCTAATATTTAGTCTTTAAAATTAGCTGTTCCATTAATTGCAGGTTAACAGTGACAACTTACCACACAATATGACAACATTCCACTGTATGAACTATTTTTTTCCTGGCCAGTAACAAAGGAAATGTTCAGACTCTTTTACTGTAATCAAAAATGTATTGTTTGTGTCCGTTTCATATGGTTGATTGGAGGGAAAATTATCTGAAATTCCCAGTGGAAATTATATATATATATATATATATATATATATATACACACACACACCGATGAGCCATTATATTATGACCACCCCCATTATGTTAGGACCAATGAGCATGCCTAGCAACCAAATGGTGCCGCTGGTGCAGTTCACAGAGCAGTATATACATCACCCGAGGACTGGCTTTTGGTCAGTAGAGTGTTTGGTGTCAGAATGGGAAAAGCTGCTGATTTGTGGGAGTTTGATAAAGGACAAATTGATGGCACGGTGCCTCAGAACTTCGATCTCAGAAACAGTGTGCCTTGTGGGTTGTTCACGTGCCACTGTAGTGAGTATGTATCAAAAGTGGTGCATGGATAGCCAAACGACGAACCGCCGTCCACAGCTTATTGTTGCCAGAGAGGAGCGGAAACTGTCGCACATTGTTCACAGTGGCTACAAGGCCACCGTGTGACAAATCACCAGCAGCTACAATAGTGGTGACCAGGGCAGTGTGTCACAGCACACAGTTCACTGCAGCCTTCTGTATATGGGCCTGCGTAGCCATCAACCCAGCCGAATCCACATGCTCCCTCAACAAAGCATTAAATGGGTTCAAGATCATCAAGATTAGAGTGTGGATGATTGGAAGAAAGTGGCCTGGTCTGACGAATCAAGATTCCTGGTGCATCACGTCAATGGCCGAGTGCAGATACACCGATTACCAACAGAGGTTATGGTACCTGGATGCACTGTTGGGCGGACACAGGCCAGCAGTGGCGATGTTATGCTGTGGGCGATGTTTTCTTGGAAAACTTTAGGCCCCATTATCCCAATGGCACAATCCCTGACAGCTGTTAGGTATCTGAACATCGTTGCAGACCAAGTGCACCCATTCATGGCAACTGTGTTTGTTGCCGGTGATGGCCATTACCAATAGGATAATGTGCCATGCCACACTGCCAGAATCGTCAAGGAGTGGTTTGAGGAACATGATGGTGAATTTCTGTTAATGACTTGGCCTCCAAATTCACCTGACATGAACCCAATCGAAAAGCAGGTTTGCACAACATCACCATCACTCCGCAATGTATGGGAACTGGAGGACCTGCTGTTGACATTATGGTACCAGAGGTCCTACAGGTTATAAAAGCGAGCTGTGCCGTACCATGCAGTGGAAAAGCGCCATTAGATAGTTGGTCATAATGTAATGACTCATCAGTGTGTGTGTGTATATATATATATATATATGTGTGTGTGTGTGTGTGTGTAGTACATAATATAAAAATTATATAAATTGTCCATTTAAAAAAAATAATTTGAAAGTATCATAATATAATAAAAAAACATTATATACATGTAAATGATATACTAATAAATTGTGACAAATTAAGCATAAAGCTATTTAAGAAATATAACTATAAACATTATAATTATAACCATTATAACTATAAATATTCACTGCAGTATGAGTGTGACTAACTAGTCCTGTATCATAACTCAATCATGGCCCTGCTGTTTGTTTTTTTTGGTGATCCAGACATCGTTGTGATGCTGTAGGTGTTGGAAGTGCAGTGATGATGTTCCTGCGCTCGTGTTCACTGGCCGTGAGATGCAGCTGCTTCAGAAAGCCACGCATCACAATCAGACCCTTCAGCTCCAGCTGGACCGCCAGGAAAGACTTCGCAGAAAACAGATTTGGATTTGGGGAAGTCAGTGATGAGATCTCAATGTGCTGCAGGAGGAGAGCAAAAGCCCGAATCAGTCAACGCTGGAATCCAACCGTGAGCTGGTGGAGATGTGGCATCAGGCGGGGAAGTTTGTTCCCAAGAACATCAAAGACGAGCAGCTGGAAGCTCTCACTGAACTGATCACCAAGTCTGCCAAGAAGAAATACCTGAAGTTTCTCGCTATTAAGGAGTCATACAAGATCTCCAAGAAGGAGAAACAGGAGAGGAGGAAATCTGAGAGGGAATCGGATGGAGAATTTAATCGAGAGGAACCCAAGAACAGCTTCCTGCTGAAGATCTGGAGCAGCTCCATGGATTGCCTTCCCAGCTGGCAAGTGGCGCAGGCCATGCACTTCGGCCAGCCCTGGTTTATGACATGAGCTACGACCAGCACATGAGCCGCAGAGAGATGGAGAACACCGCTGCGCAGCTGATGGAGAGCAAAGGCTGGAACCGCCGTGCCGCAGACCCGTTCCACCTGCACTTCTGCGGCCAGACAGTGCATATGACAATCGCCATGGATCGCACACGTGGGACCAGCTGCTGATCACAGCCACTGAGCGCAGTCATGTGGAGCTGTTTCCTCAGCAGGACCTGGTGTACCTGACAGCCGATTCCCAGCACGTCCTGCACACGTTCGATCACAGTAAGGTGTACATCATTGGCGCCAGAGTGGATCGCTCCATTCACTCGGGCGTTTCTCTGGCCAACGCCAAACGCCTCAAACTGGCCACGGCGCGACTCCCACTGGATGAGTATCTGGACTGAGACTGTGGAGCCAAGAATCTGACCCTGGATCAGATGATCCGCTTCCTGAGCATGCGGAAGGACACGGGAAGCTGGCAGAAGGCGCTGGAGTTTGTGCCCAAGAGGAAACACAGTGGCTTCCACCAGCAGAGCAGAGGAGTCACGAGAACCACAAAGAGTCGCTTCATCCGGAACGATTCATCAGAGATCCACGTCCCCACTCTAGTTCAGAGCCACAGGAAGAACAAAACAGACGGACACAAAAAAACAACAAGAACCACAAAAAAGGTGGGAGGATCGTGATTAATATTGTATCATTTTTTTGATACTGATCAATAAAAATTATGATTTCAGATGACTGTTTAAGACAACTGAAATAGTATTTTCTTGTAAAAAGTACATTTTCACACTAAATTCTCATTCAGGCCTGATTTATGGACATTAGAATTTTTACATAATTTTTATTTACGTTTGCAGAAAACACCATCTCATTCTTGTAATGCATCGATGATAATACAGCATAAACTAAAGGCAGCACAACAAATATAACCATGTTTTATAAATAGCTCTCAATAAAGTGTCTTGAATATATTGACAGTGCAAAAAAAAAAAAAACAGGATTTATTTTCTTTAAGTATATTCTAATTTCCATTTTCTTTAATTTTGGGCCACAAATAGAGCTGGAAATGTTCTGTTCAGGGTTTCATGAAATTCATGATGGCATCAGTTTCAGCTCTGCCCGTGACGTTTTACTATTTTAAACTGGTAGGGAAAGTGAAAATGATCTTCTGGTTTAATTTCAAAGAATCATTGCATTAAAAATACATTTAGAAATACACAAGAAAAGAAAAAGGTTTCACTCCAAACTGTTTATTTTGGTAATTTAAGAGAGAGATAATATAGAGAAGATATTCTTGAAATGCTTTAAAAACACTTTATACACTGTGGTCCAGGAAAACATTTAAATGTCTGCCTAGAGAACATTCATGAAATATGAAAATACAGTGCAAATACAGACATCACAGAGCAGCATCATCATTCACTGCATTATATAAATGAATCCTACACACTAAGCTCATACCTCTCTCTGGCTGTTTTTACAGAACAAAAGCCATAAACATACAGAACATTTTAAAATCTACATCAGCAGTTCGTCATTTACTCACGTTTCACACACACGTATGACTTCAAACATGGGATGTTTAGCAGGATGCTTCTTTTCAGATGTGGAATACTGCACACATATTACACTTTCAATGTGCTTTTTTTTTTGACATTTTGGATCTGATTTACTTTCACTGTATGTAAAAACATTTCTAATTATTAATTTCTTACCATTCCAATTTGGATTGGAATTATTTTGGATTATTAAAAATTGGATTATTATTTTCTTATGAATTCATTTCTAACTTATTAATTTCTCATTATTACACTAATAATTAATTTCCAATGATTAATTTCTTATTCTAATTATCGTTTTAATCATTTCTAATTATTAATTTCTTCTTATAATCATTTTTTTTCCTAATTAATCAAATTATTAATTTCTAAATAATCTAGTACATTTTTTTTTATTAATTTCTTCTTATTAATCAAATTATTTCTAACTATACTCATTTCTTATTATTAAACTTTTTTTTTTACTTTTGAGTGAATAAATATAATCATGCAGGTGTGAAACATGAGGAGGGTGAATAACCGATGACAGATTTACTCCATTAAATCAATCTGTCCAGTCTAAGAAACCTCAAACGCGTGTGCGCCACCATCCTCCACATCTGAGCCTGACGTTTAAACACAGGAAATCACATACAGAGACGATCAGTGAGATCATCTGTGCAGATCAAAACTTCAGCGCTGCATCTGCTGCGGAGTTTGTGAGATTTTTCTTTGGTATTTTCATGAGAACAGGCGTGAAGCACACACGGAAGGAAACGCTCATAATACTGACTGAAGGTGCACGTGTTGATCTGGAGTCGTGATGGTCTAGAGCACGATGAGCTCTCCGTTACAGCGCTCGCAGCAGTTGAAGGTGATGTTCTCATAGCGTGTGTATGGGTGGAAGCGGCCGATGCTCTTCTTACTGGGCAGGAACGGGGAATGAACCGAGTCAGACGTGGACGGGTCTGGCTCCTTCTCAGAGCAGGATATGGGGTCTAAACTCCGCAGCACCTGAAGAAGATGAATCATGAAGGCTTTCAATGGCAAAAACAAGTTTCTGCAATGACCTGGAAATGCTTTCTCAAACTAAATTATTATTAATACATTTTTAAATATTATACTAAAATATTTATTAACAATTATAATATAAACAATATTCTTATTTCTTATTATTCTAATTATTACTCTAGTTATTTCTTATTATTAATCTAATTAACATTATTATTTATTATCTTAATTATTATTTTTTATAATATATATATTTTTTATTAATTATTATTACATTTCTTATTACTGTATTTTATTACAATAATCTAAAATCTTATTAATAAAATTAGTGATTTCTAATTAATTACTTTCTTATTATTCTAATTATCTAATTATTATTTGTGACCCTGGAGTCTCAAGTCGCTGGGGGATATTTGTAGCAATAGCCAAAAATACATTGTATGGGTCAAAATGATAGATTTTTCTTTTATGCCAAAAATCATTAGGACATTAAGTAAAGATCATGTTCCATGAAGATATTTTGTAAATTTCCTACCGTAAATATATCAAAACTTAATTTTTGATTAGTAATATGCATTGCTAAGAACTTAATTTGGACAACTTTAAAGGCGATTTTCTCAATATTTAGATTTTTTTGCACCCTCAGATTCCAGATTTTCAAATAGTTGTATCTCGGCCAAATAATGTTCTATCCTAACAAGCTCGTTTATTCAGCTTTCGGATGATGTATAAATCTCAATTTCGAAAAATTGACCCTTCCGACTGGTTTTGTGGTCCAGGGTCACATTTATTAATTTGTAATTAATTTCATATTATTGAATCAATTTCTTAATCAAATTATTGATTGTCTTATTCATTTCTTATTAATCAATCAATTTCTAATTATTAATTTCTTCTTTAATTCATTAATTTCGAATGAATTCATTATCTGAGGAAGAATCTCAGAGAAAGAGCGCACCTTCTCAGCCATCTTCTCGGCCGGTGTGTTGCAGAGCTCTGATCTCGGGCTATTCTTCACGGCGCCGCTGCCGCCCACGTTTCCCAGCAGGTGTGAGTTGATGGCATCTGCGAGCTTGTGATTGGCTGCGGCCAGTTCTCCTGTGCTGAGTGGCTGAGCACTGGGATAATACGTCTGCTGCCGACCCCACTGCAGAGACACCAGCAGCTGCTCCAGAGACCTGCACATCACGTGCAAAACATTAAAACACCAGCCACACAAATCATAGGGAAAGGAACATTTGAAGTTACATTTGCATTACTTTGTCAGCTGAATGAAACACTCAGATTCATCACTAGCATGATTTTTACATTGATTTAAACATAAATTAGTTATTTTAGTATAATCAAG